ATTGCTGTGCACTAAGCACACTGTAAGAAAACGCACAAGAGAGAGAAGATGGCAGCACAACTATGGAGATCACTAATCCAGGGCTCGAACTTACGCAACCACTTCAGGAAAAGCAGCATTTTCCTCTTCCAGCTGCAGTTCTTTTGCCAGCTGTTCACTCATTACATCAGCAAGAGAACATGATATTGATGTTGTGTTAGGGGTTCCCCATGGACACTGTAAATAAGCATTTTATTAAAATCAGCAAGATTTGTAAAGTGACAACACAATAATCAGGATAATTAGCTATTGCTAGCACCAAAATAAGCTCACATAATCTTTTAAGAGCTTGTCTTCTACAGATACTTGGGGAACTACTCAAAGAGTAGTTTCATAAACTCAGTAGGGAGAACTGGGGTTGAAACTGGGGTTGGTAGTCACTAATCGGGGTAGGAAACAGTTTGTCGGTACTCTCTGAAGACGGGGTAAAGCCTTCTGAGAAAGTTTGCTTACAAGTGTACACACTTGTATATCTATGTAAAACTTCTCTTGGAATAACACGACCGTAATAGCTTATGCACAGTTTCCTCCCCCGTTTTTAGGGCCCTGAAAAGACAGCCATCATAAAACATCCCCTCAAAACTTCCCCAGCACACACGTAACCTCGCTGGGGGAGGCGGCGGCTGGGAAGTGACGAATCCAACCAAGCTGTGACTCGCTGCCTACCGCCGTGATAACCAAGCTCGCTTAGCTCCAATTCCCTGCTCGCCAGCAGAGCTTGGAGAGAACAACGCATTTATCAGGCTGCCACACCAGCCCTCTCCAGCAAGGAGATAATTGCCGGTAGCAGCAAGAACGCCATTCCCCGTCCATCGCTGCTCGGGTGGCTCTGCCAAGTGACCGTGACCCTGGCGGTGCTGACACCGCCCCGCAGCGCCCTCTCCACGGCCTCAGTTCTCCTCCTCCTCCACGAGCTCCCCGGAGCCCGGACAGCGGCGGCGGCCCCGCAGCGGCCCCGGGCTGCCGGCACAGCGCTCACCTTGCTCTGCCAGGCGGGGCCCGGACCGGCGTCGGGGGCGGCGGCGGCGACTCCCACCGAGTCCATGGGGCACACAGGGGCGGGCGGGGAGCGGCAGGAACGGGGTCCCTCTTCGGGGCAGCGACGCTCCGACTGCGAAACCTTCCGGGTCCTTCCCGGTCCTCCCTGGCCGTCACGGGCCGTCAGGCGGCCCATTGGCCGCCGGCTCGGGCATCGCCCGCCTTTCCGGTGATGTCAGCGGGGCGGCCGCGGCGCGCTGGCGGCGTACGGAGCCTTCGGTAGGGCCGGCCCGTGGTTCCGGCACCTCCCCCCGCCCCGCCCCGCCCCGCCCGGCGGCCCCAGAGGGCTGAGGGACAGCGCCGGGCACCGGAGCTGGGCTGCCGGCAAAGCGAACGGGGGGAGTTAAAGAGCTCATGTTTGGTTTTATCTCAGGAAGTAACCGAGGGAACCGTGGGAAAAAGCCAAACCAAAACAAACCATGAGCGAACGGCAAAACAAATGGATGGAGTCCAGAGAAGGGCAACGAAGCTGGTGAAGGGTCTGGAGCACAAGTGCTGTGAGGAGAGGTTGAGAGAGCTGGGGTTGTTTAGCCTGGAGAAGAGAAGGCTCAGGGAGACCTCATCACTCTCTACAACTCCCTGAACGAAGGTTGTAGCCAAATGGGGGTCGGGCTCTTCTCCCAGGCAGCAAGTGACAGGACAAGAGGACATAGCCTTAAGCTGCACTAGGGAGACTTAGGTTGGACATTGGGAACAATTTCTTCCCAGAAAGGGTGATTAGATATTGGAATGGGCTGCTGAGGGAGGTGGTGGAGTCACCGTCCCCTGGAGGTGTTTAAGGAAAGACTGGATGTGGCACTTTAGTGCCATGGTCTAATTGACACGGTGGTGTTGGGTTATCGGGTTGATTCAATGATCTCAGAGGTCTTTTGCAACCTAATTGATTCTGTGAAATTAAATAGGCGATGTTCGTTTTTATCTCAGGGAGTAACAGAGGGAATGGAAAAAAAACCCCAAAGCAAACCATAAGCAAACAGTTTAATCCCAATCCCATACCTCATGGTAAATACAAAATTAAATATTTTCTATGTGACCTACCATCCCTTACACCTCAATTTTATACATAATATTTTTCTGGAAAATAGTGATTTAAATGCCCTCTTTCCAGGACAGGGGCAGCAGAATGGCATTTTGCAACAACACAGATGCTGTTTAGGTCTGCTTGGGCAAGTTTCCCAACAAGAAGGAAACAATGCCTAGAACCCTCAGGCCTGGCTCACCTCCAGCTGTTGAAGGTATCTATCAACAGTTGTAGACAAATGTGCCATCACAATTGCCATCAATAACCTGAAAAACAACCTAGCAAAGTTGGCTGGCTCCAAGAGCAGAAGTGGTAAGGAATTGTATAGCTCCTGTGGCATCTCCCAGCCTGCTCAAAGTTCTGGGTTACACATTTACCAAAGCCCATGCTGCCAGGCAGGCCCAGCAAAAGCCACTCTCATCAACTCTCAGGCATGCAAGAATCAGCTTCATCAGCCAAAGTTCATCTAATTTGTCTTTAGCAACCTGCAGTGACGTAACACAGTGCAATATCCCAAGACAATTTGTTCAGTGTTCATTATTGCAGGAAATCCCCGACTAAAAAAGAAACCATTTGGAAGGTGGCAGGGACCCAGGTTGTAATGTACAACCTGCAGGTACGACACAACCTTGTGCCATGGAGACATTATAGTGTCATAATATCATTTAGGTTGGAAAAGACCTTTAAGATCATCAAGTCCAACCGTTAACCCAGCACTGCCAAGTGCCTGGCGAGGGTGGCTTTTTCTGGTGATAAGTACCAGTGTGGTTCTTTTCCATTCTGTGCTTAGCCGTGGCAGAAAGAGATTATTTCTTTGCCTTTTCAGCTGCCTTTTGGGGATGTGAAGATTGCTGCCATGCCCCCTTCAATCTTCTTTGTCTAAATTTAAGAGTTTTATAAATGAGCAGAATATCAAAGCAGTGTCCTGCTGCCCTGAGAAAATCATTGTTCTTGCACAGCTGTGCAAGCACTGATTAAGAAAATGGGGTTTGGTAGTTTTTGATTCAAACAGTGACTTAATATTCCTATATCTTGTTATTAAGTTTTTAATTTTCAAAAATAAGTCTTCTATTTTAGTCTCTTAAATATTACCTGATTAGGCCTTGATCCCATGACCTCCTATATGAATGGATCAAGCTTTGAACTGAATTATGTTAAGAAGAAATGTTCTGTAAAATGACATCTAAACTAAATAATTAGCAACACATTCACATCTCACAATAAAAATAGTTAAAATCTTGGTAGAGCAGAAACTTCCCTTCATATTAATCAAAATTTAGAGCAAAGCTGTATAGCAATTACTTAGTATGCAATTCAAGTCAGTCATGATAAACAATACTGGCAGAAATTTATATGTTCATTCTTGATCCCTGACTGTAAGTGGTTAACAAGAATTCAAACCTGCCTCTGCATTTAGCTGTAGGAAGATATATCATCTTTGCCCAAGTCTCCCACTTGTAATAAGAAATACTGCAAAAAACCAGAGAGATCACTCTGGAAATGATACTCTTGTCGCATGCTTTCATTAGTCTCTGCAGATATCTGTAAACTTTTCTTATTCTTTTTTTAAAGCTTTACAGGCTGAATTTTTGGCACAATGCAAAGTATACCTTTGTTTGCAAAATAGACTTCTGCCATGGTTATATAAGGAGGTGCTCTACAAAGTGGAAAAGCTGTGTCACCTACCCTGCCATCTCTAACTCTGACAGTGGCTTGTCAGTGATCTCTGTAGACCTGGATGGACCAAATCTTTCAGCACTGGAAATCTGATGTCTGTTTTGGGCCACCACCTTACAAACCAGATAGGATCACGTCTGATGCACCAAAATGCTTGAATTTGTCTTGATGCAGTGGCGACTGTTCAGCTGTTGTACTCTGTTGACTTTGTCTTTGGAGGCTAAACATAGCAGGTTAGACAGGCTTATTTTATGGGTTGTATTTGACTACCTAGTGCCCCCTTAACTCCCCAGTTTAGGCCATGGTCAGTTCCTTATTTATGCTGTTTTGTCCTCTAAAAATAGGGTGTATGTGTACAGAGAGAGTGTTACCTGAGCAAAGTCAAGGTGAGAACTGCAGAGATAGGACCTTGCTAATACCAGGTCTGACAAGAATGAGGCTTACCTAGGCCATAATAAAAGGATGCCCAGTAACCATGACTTGATAGGACGTGTCTTTCTCTGCTTCTCTACCTCCCTGGGATATTTATAGTTTACATGTCACCAGTGAATCATACGATCATAGAATAGTTTGGGTTGGAAGGGGCCTTTAGTCATCTAGTTCAACGTCCCTGCTGTGAGCAGGGGTATCTTCAACTAGATCAAACTGCCCACAGCTTCACCCAGCCTGAATCTGAACACTTCGAGGCAGATCTACTGCCTGTTCCAGTGTCTCACCACCCTCACCATAAAAAATATCTCCCTTATATCTAATCTAAATCCGCGCTCTTTCAGTTTAAAGCTGTTCCCCCTTAGCTGTTCTGTCACTACATGCCCATATAGGAAGTCTCTCCATCACTCTTATGGGCCCCCTTTAGGTACTGGAAGGCTGCTCTAAGGTCTCCCCAGAGTCTTCTCTTCTCCAGGCTGAACAACCCCCAGCTCTCAGCCTGTCTCCATAGGAGAGGTGCTCCAGCCCTCTGATCATCTCTTCGTGACTGGACTTGCTCGCTCTAACAGGTCCGTGTCCTGTGCTGAGGGCCCCAGAGCTGGACGCAGCACTCCAAGTGGGGGTCTCATAAGGGCAGTGTAGTGGAGGCCTTGCCCTGGTGGCCGCGGTTCCCTGGATGCCGCCCAGGATGCGGCGGTGTCCGGGCTGGGAGCGCTCCCGGCGGGCCCCTCCGCAGGCACGGCCGCCAGGCGGCAGCAGCGGCGCCAGAGGAGGCGGCGCCCAGCGGAGCGGCCGCGGCGCGACGTGTCGCTGCCATGGCCGACGGGCGCCGCCGGCGGGGGCGGCGGTGACAGATGTATTTGAAGAGGCCGGCGGGCGGCCTCGCCTTCTGCCTCTTCTACCTGGCGTCCTGCTTCACCAACAAGGTGAGGGCGGGAGCGAGGCCGCCCCAGTCTCGGAGGGGCCGGGCGGGGCGGAGGGAGGTGCGGGGGTGCCGGGCAGGCGGTCCGCTCAGCGGGAATGGGGCGCGAGGTAAGTGCAGGGACCCAGCAGGAGGCGAAGGAGGGACGATGTCCTCTGCTTGCCCTGCCCTGCTTTGCTCGGGGAGAGCCGCGGACCAGCCCCTCCCCGACGGGACTATCCCACGAGTGAAAAATTCCCTGGCATTCCAGCCCGAAGGGCCACCGCCCCCCAGCGAGGTGTGCTCCCGAAACTGGGGATAGGACTGTCTGCTACCGGTCTTGTTTTTCTCAGTGTGTGACATCTCAACCTTTCCACGACACAGAAGTTCCAATACTGGCTTGTTAAGGAGAGCAAAGAGGTGACATCCTATCATTCCAATGAATGAAGTGTTATAGAGCCAGAAATTAGGCTGCTCTGAAAGTATCGCTGATGCTGTATATATTGCACGATTGGATATCTAGCAACCACACTCATTCTCAAGAGAAGATCTGTTAACTGGAACAATAATACCAAGGGAAAAATCTGAAATATTGAAAGTGTTGTATCAGTAGTGGAACAAATGTTAACTTCCATGGACCCTGTGACAGCTTAATTAGTCGGCAAATTAAGGACAAGAATTTTGTTTTCCACTGTGTGACTGAGTTGCTTATTAGTGTTGCTGAAATGTTTAAGCAGAAGGAGAAGTAAGCTGCAGATGGCCACATCGCAAATAAAATTGTAGACTTAAAACATAGTTTGAAGTAGTTTTTTCACTCTGGCAGGGGGAGATAGAGTAACTGCTCCTTGCTGTCCTATTTATCTTAGAGTATGTGTTTCTGGTTCCAATTTGTGAAAGAAAAGATGTTATTGAAGGAATCGTTATGGATTTTCTGGGAGAGGGCTGGAGAAAAGCAGCATTTCAGAGGTGAAAATGAAACCTCTTCTGGGCAGTGGCCACTGGTTTCTGTTCCAAGGTACACTTGCCATTAAGGATGCTCAGAAAAAGACTGAAGTCCAGACAGGAAACAAAGTTTGTAGGGAGAGATAATGCGCTTGATTTGACAGACTGCTAGGAGCAGTGGTTACTTAAACAGAAAGAGGCTAGAAGAGCTGCCAAATTGCGTCATGGATTGGGAAAGGTTCTTGGCTAACTGTACTTGAGAGGAAGTCAGAAGGACTTCAACGTAGGGCCTCCATTTTCAAACCTGAATATAGATTTTGGTGTAATAAAGTTAAAAATAACTAGAATATAGACCTTTTAGTTGTTGCAGGTGGTATGCAAATGCAGGCGGGGGGACGGACATGTGCAGATATATCATCCTGATTTAAAACCCATGTGGTAGTTCTGACTCTTGTATGTGTAATATGGCTCATCAATATGCCTTGTCTCTCTACACTGATGCCAGCTTCTTAGTGACACCCTACACACCTAAAAACTGGACTTTGCAAAGGGCTCAGCACAGTTTCCTCTCTGTTGAAAGCTTTCAGCTTCTCCTTTTGCCCTTGACAGCTTCTGCTGGCTCCTGGAAGGAGCAGCAGGTATGTTTCATTTCCTCTGAGGAAGCTTCAGTCATTCTTCTCCTTTGCAGGAATAGTATTTATATACTGCATTACAGAAAATTGTTAGATCCGGATATACGTGTTGAAAGACATGTAATAATGCCTCATATTTGCATACATACATATATAGCATGAAAAGACACCAGCATCCATACACACAGACCCTGACAAAGAGTGCTAAAACAATAACACAGAGGCTTTGCGTTTCACCCTCATGTATTACATCTCCAGTAGGCTTTCTGGACTACTTAGTATTTTACACATAATAGCATGTGAACAGAATGTTAGGTGTGTGAGATGCATTGATCATAAGGAGACAGTTCTGTTAAGATTATTGGTCTTGATTCTGCCAAAGGTTGCCTCTGTGGTATGATATGATGTTAATTGACAGGTGCTTATGGGTTTTTGTTTCTGTTAATCCTTTTCCCATTCAGTATGATGCATGGAGTGTGCTCAGAAAGTGAAAGTACAATTCAGAAGGTAGCCTTCTCCATTGTTCAGTCACTCCATGCCCCATATACTTTAGTGTCTGTTACCTTCCGCAGTAACTCAAGCAGCATCCAGCAGTTCTGGTGTGGGAAGTGTCACAAATGAGTGTTTTATGTTGCTCAAAGAATCACTGGCAAAGGTATTGGCAAGAATGGGTTTAATGTTAAGGTGAAATCACAACAGAGTTCATTGGCAAGGTTTGCTCTACTACCATCATTACTACATACGTTATATCATTATTACATTACTACGTCATTGCATCTACTACATCATTTCCAGGTGGTTAAAGCAGACAGAGAGAAATCAGACTGAAATCAATCAATCTAAAAATAAATCAACCTAAAATGATCTATGTGGAAGTAAGGATACAAAAGTGTAAGGGTAAAAGGGAATAAGACGCTCCAGTTGAGTCACAGGGTTCAGAGTGGGCCCCCATGCCAAACTTAGCCCCGGACTTGACCAACAGTTTAGGCCTAAAGGTTTTAACAGCACTTAAACTTAATGGTGCTAAATGAATAGTTTAATTTAAACAATTTAACAAAAGATTCATACAGAATTTACAGTAGGTACAACAGTGACTCACTTAGAGGCCTGTCTTACGAATCTAACGTACTTAAGAATCTAAGAGAGCAACATTCATAGTACATTTGCTATAGCATGTTGACACTTGTGTGCACATAGACCTGAAGAAGTATGTACAAGGTATACCTGTAAAAAATTCCCCTTGAGTGCAGTGAAATGGTCATGTCTTGAGGAGTGGGGGTGTCAGCCCAGGCTCCACTGTCAGTGTTCGGTGGCAGTCCTCCAAGTATAGCAAACTTGAGAGTTCACTGGCTCTGAGATGCGTCCCACTCAGAGGGAGATTGCTGTTCACAGCTTGCTGTGGTCCAGGAGAGATCAAAGGGGCTCACTTAGGACTGCTGTTTATAGGGTCAAAAGAGAATTGGCTTTAGTCATAGTAATTTTCCATCCTGGCTGCAATGCGGGTTGGTAACTTTCTCTAACAGTTCAATAAGAAAAATGTTGTTCCACTTGGGTTGTTATGCAGGCAAGGAAAATAAGTTTCCAGGGTTGTTTGTTAAAAAACAGGAGCTCATTAGACAGCACTAGTTCCTGGGAGCAGACAGTGTTTCTGATAAGCTCAAGAGAAAGTTAGCCCAGGTGCTATTCGTCAAGACTGAGGCCTAACAAGCATTTCTGAGACCACAGCGTGGCCTGAAGAGAGCAGGGGGGGAAATGCACCACAGAAAGAGAAATTACTAAGCATTTTTTTGTCTTTTCTACCAAAATAAGGAAAAATGAAAACTCTCTATGTGTATTTTGTTGCTCTTGTGATTGTTTGTTAATGTTATAAACTGTAGGTGTTTGATGTCCATTAATTTGGTATTTGTTTTCCAGTATGTCCTGTCTGTCCTGCAATTTACCTACCCTACCCTTTTTCAAGGGTAAGTACTGTTTTAAGAATACAGTTGTTTGAAAAATGACTTTAATGTCTTGCTGTTCCGTGCTGAAGCTAACTTCAGTACCTCTTGTCATTACTGGCTTTTGCTGTCTAGAGAACATAATTCATAAAGCCTTAGTAAAGCATTCATTAATGTGTCTTGGTTAATTTTTTTTGACATCCTGATGGTGATGTAATTAAGATATACAGAGTCCATAATTTCTCATTTTACTGGAGGTCTTAGCTTCAGCATAGAAAAGTAACAATTATGGTACAACCTGTCTTCTTTGGAAATGACACTCTTGGATAATGTGCAGTTGTGGTGTATTCTTTAGCTATGCTAGACAAAACCGACCTTAAATCCATCGTTAGGCACTTACAAACACCACATTGCTCATTTTTCTGCTTAGCTTTGGTTGTAACCTGTGCATCACGAGTCATCTTGATGACTGTAATGAGAAATTTAATATTTTGACAAGTGTCCATATATACCATCAGTGCTGTTCATAATTTGTGAGGCATTCTGTGAAAATCTGGCCTCTTAGAGTCAAGACTTCCCCCATTTGTTTTTTTGAGATAATGCTGAAATCTGCACACGCTGGATATCTTTAGTTCCTTTTCTGCTGCTTAGCATGGCTTACATTTTTGTCTGACTTGCAGACCCAGGACTGCAAGGAACTCTAGAAATAGTTGCCTGGGGAATCTCCATTTACTTTGAGTGTATTCAGCTCAATTAGATATTCACTGAACGGTTTCTTCATTTTTGGCACACACAGAGGCTGTCTCTTGGACAAGGCTTTTATCATAGGGGGAAAGGGTTTTGAGTAAAGTTTGAAAAATATATGTGTGGTAAATCAACAGTAAACAAGCATATTTCAACGACAAGCAACTGCCTTATTGTATCTGTGTTACCACAATTATTTCCTTTTTCTATTGTTTGGCAGTGCATTTCAGCATCTTAATATTTTTCCGTAAGTTCTGGCTTTTAAAAGTGATCTTTCCTTGAAATTTTTTTAAGTGGCTCAGACATGCTTTCATTTGGAGCTGTGACGGAGGAAAGGAATGCATTTCTCAGTTCATGCTGTTATAGTTCATTGTCATTGGTTTTGTTCCCATTATAATCTAAGAATATATTGCATAGTGCTAAGCATCTGAGACTGTCAGTAACTTCAACTTCCGTCATTAAAACCTGAGAAGAGGAAATTCTTCACAATAAAGCTGATAGGAATTCATCACTGGCTTGAATAGAGCATGGTCAAGACTGCAGCAAACATCAGGAAAATCTGGCTTTTAAGCTCTTGTATGCTTTTCATCTTAAAAAAAGTTCAGTGAGCTATGATGTTAGCATTGAATATTTACCATACCCATGTGGAAAATGAGCCCTCTCTTCTCTGACGATGTCCAACTGCATGTAATACTGTGTAGAGTGAATATTTGTTTATTTGTGTATGTGTGAGAAAGATTTTAAATAATCACTTTAAATCATTGCATTATAATGAATGGGAATAATAAATGAACCCGCTTCTATACCTGTTATGGATGTTCATGTCATTTAACACTGTAATAGGGTATCTCTGTCTGAACTGTGCTAGATATTCAAGGATTTTCACCCAAGAAACATGAAACACCTCTCTGAAAACCACTAACTTAAGGAAGAAGAAAGCTAATAAATTATTTTAAAGTTTAAAAAAAATCAGTGTGCATCATTACTCATTTTGAGCTATCTGCAAATATTTCCTAGGCCTCACATTCTGTTTCTGTAATAGACAGAGGAACAGCTTTGTGGTAGGATAAGTCATTAGGTAGATAAGTCAGTGCAGAATGAACGTAATTGTTATGTACATTTTCAATGAGAAAACCGCAGCATTGTGGTTCATACACAAGGTTATCTGGCTGTAAAGATGTTTTCTCTAGGGGCTCTGAGTCAGGGGCTCATGCAGAATAATGATGTTATTGTTGATGACACTTCACTTGGTGCTTGATACACAAGCTCTAGAGGCAGGGGAGGAAGCAGTCAGTTCAAGGGATTTTGTAATCTAAACCCAGCATGAATTACCATGGGAATTCATGGAGCTAATGTTTGAAACTACACACGTTATCCTTGGGGCTTATTACTTCAGGTGAAGTGAGTCTTTCAGTCCTGAAATCATGTTTATTTGTTCCAACAGTAACAGTTTATGTATGAAAAGATAGTCATCTCTTGTCACAAACCTTGCCTCACTTGCATCTTCGAATCATTGTGGCTGTAATATCGCTATTGTTATCATAAACCTTGTGTAGGAAGAGATGATAAAATGGGGATCCAATAACATGATTAAGGTAGTTGTGGTAGATGGTTATTTATTTATAAAACATTTGAAAAAGGATGTGGAAGCACCAGATTATTAGAAAATCTGCAGGAAATGAAAGCCTACAGAAATGAAAGATTCAAAGGAGAATAGTGGCATCCCTGGTGACTTAGAGAAATGGTAGATAACTGGAGTCATGGATGTGCTGTTTCCTAAATCTTCGTTGGCGAAGCCTAGCCACGATGAGGATGTGCTGTGAGAAGTTCTGTGGATTCTAAGGTCATTCTCATGATTAAAGAGGACAAACAATTCAGAGATGCTGTGTTGTTCTGTTTCAGGTGGCAAACATTAGTGGGTGGACTTCTGCTTCACCTCTCCTGGAAGCTGGGCTGGGTGGAGATAAACTTGTGTTCGAGGTAATCTGTTTTTTTTGGTATCTGCTAAATATTTATTTTCTGTAGCTGGATCACAAGATAGTTAGATAGGTTGTGGAATTTACTAACTGCCAAATATACAGGTTGGGGGGGTGTGTGTGCGTGCTGCTTCACAGATGTAGAAGAGAACTTGTGTTTTACTCAAGTAAGTCTTTTATCTGCTGTGTAGATAAATAGAGGATATTGTTATAATAGCCATCAGTGATATTGGTAGAAGCAAGATTAGGTACAGACATTGCTTTAGTGGCAGTTACTGATATCTATATATTATTATCAAATGTGTATTTTTGGTGCAGACTTCGTTTTCACAGAACAGTCTAAAGAAATATCGCTGTCAGTAATGTCCTTTTTTAGTTCAAATTGTCATCACTCATGATTACTTCTGCTTTAAACCATGAAATTAAAGAAGTTGAATCTTTTTTTTCCCGAACTTGGAAAATATATTTGATTTTTTTCAAATTCTGAAATAATTTAAAGAAAACACTGGACAAGAGCCACTTTATGATGTTGAAGATGTTTTTATCAAAAGTTTTGGTGAAAAATTATTTGTATTTTGATGCTGGAGACTTCAGGCCACTAGGTGTCAGTGCACTGTAGGAAAACGGATTAAAATACATCTTGAGAGACTTTTTATTAGTTTAGTGAATGCAGAATACCTGTTCTAGAATAGACTGAATGGAACGACCAGAATTAATTGACACGTTTTGGCTATAATACAGACAAATACTTAATCATGAATTTAAACCTGTCTTTCTTCAGAAGAATCAGGCACATGCTTTAATGCTTTGCTGAGCTGGACTTGTAGCTTGTATCTCCTGTATTAAAACAAAACAAAATTAAACCAAAATAAAAAAAGCAACCCCAAAAGCCAAAAACCAAAACCCTCTAACACCCAAAACCCAACCAACAAACCAAAAAACTCCCCAACAAACAAATGTAATGTCAAAAGGTGATTTAGTACTACCACTGGGATATGGATATTTCTACACCCCCACGCCTTACAGAGTATTGGTCTCTGAATCCATCTGTTGGTTTGGGGTTTTTCTGTCTATGTGTAGTATACTTAGGAATACCATATCCAGTCTCCTTATGCTTCAAATAATAAACTGCCCATCCATTTGTTTGTTTATTTCTACAAAGTCTCAGTTTTTCTGTCGTGTGGACTGATCTCATATACCTTCTGAGCCAGTTCAGGTTATCTCCAAGTGTCTCAGCTGTATTAAATTATTACATAAACATCATCAGCCTTTGTGTAAAGTCCAGAATACTAATCTCACAATAAAGACCAAATGAAAACGCATTACTTAGGGTAATCTCTCTTAGATTTTGTGGACAACCTGCTTTTCATCTGCTTCCCCCAGTACTCCCAGCTTTAAGGGACTCTCCATCACTGCTTCTAAACAGCAAATACTATCTGCAAAGCTTGTATCCAAAACAAGGTCTTTGTGGAGCACAACAGAATATGGATAGCATCTACATAATGCTACACAGTGCTGCAGTCTGCTGCCCAGCTTCTGCCTAACCCTTGTTGGCACATAAGTCCAATATGTTCTGGTTGGAATTCTTTGTAGTGCTGCATTTCCCCCACAGCTAAGCAGCAGCTCAGAGCCTTACTTAAACCAAAGCTCCAAAGTGTGGTTTAGGGGAACCTACCCACTGACTTTAGTGGGCTTTGGGTTTAGCCCTGCAACAACCACAAGCTCATCAGTTATTTTCCTGTTTTGCATGTACAACACTGTAGTGCCAACATAAGAAGCTACTAATTGGTTTACATACAGGACAGATTGTTGATGCTGACACGTTACATCAAACATCCATGCATTCTTTTTCAGTCCTGAAATTCCCACTTGGCAGCGTAAAATTCTACCCTTACATCATGGAAAAAGCATCTGAAGTCCTTTTCCATTGCACTTCACAGTATTGCATTGGAGATGAAGACATTTTTGGGATTCCTACAGTTTAGTGGTGGGGAACATGAAAGAATGATATTTTTATGTTCTAAATGAAAATTCAGTTTTCATCATGTGTTCCTTTCATCTTCTTGACCCTACTTTCTTTTCTTCCCTCCCCCTTCCTTCTATTTGTTACAGTTCCAGTAGGGCAGCGGGTGTTTTTGTTGGTGTCTGATGTGAACTCATTGGTAATGAGGCATGACAGTTTTAGATCTCAGTCTTGATGAAATTCCAGTTGAAGTCAATAACCTTAAAAGGAACAGCATTTTTATAAAAAATTAGAATGACTACTCAAGAAAACCCAGAGCAAATATTTATGCCAGTGAAAGGATCTAAAGATTGTATTCGTGGCCCTGGGTTTCTGATTGAGTATCTTGGAAAATCATGTAACAGGAAATGTGATGTTTATGGTTTCTTCCTTCTCTGTGATTACATGTATCTTTATGTTTTATTTTCATTCATACTGTTCTGATTTCATTGTTTAGTGGTCTGTTTTTCTTGTGTTCCATGAAGTGCAGTAGTGTAGGGGTACCTGTAATTAACATTTTAAGTCTTACATACTAGTTGGAAGTGTAATGCAAATTAAGGAACTACAAGCAGTTTGGTTTTATTCTGAGAACCAGCATTATTTGCTAACTTTTTCTTGACTTTAATTCAAAGCTTGGGAAGAGTGAATGGATTAGCCATGACTTCAGTGCTGGGAAGCCTTTGATTCAGGCCCTTACCTCTTCCTTTCTTCCCTTGCTCAAAGTCTTCCATTATTCTCTCTGAAATTTACCACGTACCTGGTCCCTTTTTCCCTTTAAGTAACAAGATTTTAAAAAAATGGAAAAATGCCAATTCTGAAGCCCCTTCTCGGAACTGAAACCTGACCCTGCTGCAACAACCATAGCTAAAAAAAAATTAATCAGATCAATCTGATGACTTCATTCCTCCATTAGTTGTCAAACTGCCTCCAGGAGTTTGGCTTAGTCAAAGGAATATCATTAGGAAATCTCAAGAGATAGGCTCCCACAGAGACAATCTGATCTTTAGGAAGAATCTCTTTGTAAATCTGGCTGAGAAATGAATGTGTGGGTGGCCAAGTGTATTTGTGCATAGTGAAAATGTGTACTGTCTGTGCAAATGTGACATTTAATGCCTTCATTTGTCAGTTTTTGTTCCTTTCACAGCATATCAAGGAAATTAGTTGAAATTTCTCTCCTTTAAAACCAGTGCAAGTAATTGCTAAGGAAAAAGATAAACCAACACAATTTTGGAGAGAGAGGAGACAGGGAAAGAGTAAAAGAAAAAAATATATCTGCAGATAGTTCCTCTCTTGGATTAGATGAAGTGAATAATTTCTGACTTGGACTTGTAGTAAATTGGAGGAATACTGAACAATTGGACAATGACTTTAATATGCACACATTTGAAATTTATGTACATATATACATATTATATTCCTTGCAAGCAACTATTCCTGACTGTATGTAAACATAATGTGGTGAAATAATGAGATTTTAATTGTTTTCACAGGTCTGAAATCCTGTCATGGCTTCCTGCTTCAGTACTTTTTGTGGGCATCATTTATGCTGGCTCTAGATCACTGTCTAGATTGGTAAGAAATGCACAAGTAGAAGTCAATTCTTTATTATCTCTACTTTGTAAACAGAGAACATTCCCTTCATACATGGTGTTTAATGCTGTTCCTGGGTTGAGGGGAAAGGAGGGAGGAGGGGTTTAAATAATACATCGATTGTTAATGGTGCTAAAGCAGTGGTTCAGTCCTATGAAGTACCAAAAAGCATCTCTGTGACAGTCCAAAGGACTCAGCATCTTTCCAGAATACTCAATGTTTTTCAGAACAGATCCTCAGTGGTCTGAATTTTGCAATTAGGGAAGAAGCTGAAGAACTTATTAGCTGCAACTTTGCAAAAGGGGGAATGAGACTGTGGGATCTGTGGGAAATCCGTCCAGGAAAGTGATGAAGACCATTTCAGTGAGAGCCTTTTGATTCTTTACCAGATTTGAAAAAATAAATTGAAAGTTGGAAAGAGATTATGGGAATGGTTAATCAGTTTTATGATCCATTTGCATCACAATAACCTATCAAATGTTTACAAGATGTCAAATCTGCTTTCATTAAACTTGAATGCTTTATACTTAAATGATGTAGTCTTTCTTAAAAAAAATAAAATAAATTAGTGACATGAATTTTTAAAAATAATAATGTTTTACTGCTGTTATGCAGTCTGCAAACCCAAATTCTGCACTAGTTCCCTTCTGCATTCTGTCAGTGCATCTTACTGTAACTCTAGAGCCAGCTTGCTCCTGTCAGCTCCTAAACCCCAAAGAAGATCAAAAGGGAATTTTTTACAGGATTCTGATTGTAGTGATCCCTTGAACATCTCAGTAGAGAGGCAGAGCAGAAAAGGACAGGTGGTCTCTGTCCTCATAAACAAGGTTGGAGGCCTCATCTTGGAACCAAATAATCTTGTGAAAACACAGGCCTGTGCTCAGAAGCCCCTGCTTCCACTTTAGTTCTGTCTCAGAGTGATTGCATTTACTTCCTCTTGGTTTCTTGTCAAAGGAAGTTCCATTGGCCTTCTCTGAGGTAAAGTGAGCAAAGATCCATGAGAAGAGCCTTGCCTGGAAACAGCAAAAAGCCTTGGCAGCAGCATCTTTTCTGCTTGCTCACCTGGGTGGTGGAGGAGTTATGAATCACATCCTCTCTGCTATTTCTTCTTACTTCCTAGTCATGCAGTCAGTTACTGTGTTTCCCTCCTGTTCCTGCTCTGGTCATTCACGAGTGAGCTGCACTGGAGTGGCAGAGGGGCTATGAATGGTTTTGATTTATATCCCAAACCTTTCTTAAGGAGAATCTCCCATTTCTGAATGGCTTTTTGTTGTACATGAATGGGGATTTAGAGGCCTAAGTCTGTGGCCGTTTTAGGAGGAAAGACAAAAGAACAAGTAGTCTTAGGTCGTAGTTATTATGTACTGCCTTGTACTGGGACTGGGAGCATATTTGAATTAAGCAAGTTTATTCCTAAAGCAGAATTTATGTACACTTTTTTGATCAAATCCAAGGAGACCCACTTTCAAACACTCCTGTATACTGGCAGGGCTACAATTTTATCTCTGTTTGTGCCTTTCCCGAGAGGTGCTGGCAGTCTCCCCTGCCCAAGGGTTCAGGGGTGGAAGTGGAGGAGGACTGCTTAGCTCTGGACTGTGATGCATTAACAAAAGTATGCAGAGCTGTGAGGGGAGGTTTGTACAGAGTCAATTCACCCTGCCTGCCCAACCAGTAAACCTTTCTTTTCATAACCCACTCACAAATTCAAGAAATAGTCACATCAAAGGCAATAGACATATGGAGAAGGTTAACTGGGCTAGGCAAACTGGAGCCATTGTTGGCTCCAAAACACATTTGGAAGAGCCAAAAACAGAGAGGAGGAAAGAAAAAACCAACCAATTGGCTTCACAAAAGGAAGAATGTAAATTCTGCTGTCAACTTTCCTTGTTTATGGCTATTTCTTGTATTTCCCATTACTATGTCAGGCTTAGGTTGCTCATGTTGTATACTTCTGGTTTTATATTCTCAGTTGAGAACTGGCTTTCAGAACTGGTGAAGCTGTTTTGTTTGTGTGATTTTTGTTCCTTTCTAGTTTAAAGATGTTAGAAGTTACCTTGGTGTAACTCCTGTGTTTATGGATCCACCTCAGCTGTCATTGTGACTTAAAATGTTTAATTAGCGATACTTATCTGGCTTCATGGTAAAGAAAAGAAAATTACAGAAAATACAGATTTCTGAACGCAAAGTCCGATTTAAGAGATGTTTGCTGCTTATATCACCTGATACTTAAAAACATGGACATCACTGAGAAATTACCTCATTCTCTACTTATGTGATTTAAATACTATACACAAGTGGGGAAATACTGCTTCCTAAACTGGCTTAGTCTTTACATTATCTTAATCAGAGCAGAGAATTGCTTCTGTTTCAACTGTCTGAGAGACCATGGATCTGATTTGGAGGAAGTATTATGAACCACTAATTCTGGTTGGGTTTGCCTCCGGCAATGAGTGTTTGATTCATTATTGTTATCACTGGGTTTTGTTTCTTAATGATTTCATGTTGGGATGGTGTCCAGATGCCTCAGTGAGTACAATTTCAACATCACTTGTGTATGAACTATTGCATTTCTACCCTAATTTTGGGCATCTCTTCCTAGCAGTAACTGAAAGCAATCACCTAAAGTCATCTTGCCCACAATTCTGTTGCTAGGAGTCACACTGTATTCTTAGTACCAGTAGACAGAGATGGGAAAACTAATGAGAACTGTTTACTGTGGAGGGTGCAGATGTTGGATCAGAGAAGGAAAACTAGAGGCAGAAACCTGGAGCAAATCTTACTGAGGTAGCTGTGTACAAACAAACTGGCTGAGCACTCAGAAGTGGGAGAAGCAGCAAGCAGTGCTACAGCAGGGCCTGCATTTAAAGATGCCTGTGCCATGTGGTAATGATTGGAATGGGTCTAAGTCCCTTTTAGGAGATATGGCACGGGTTTACAGTTTAAAAAACAAAAAACCCAAACCACAAACATGTGGGACAGCTGTCTCTAGGAGGAGTGCCCCTTGGTATGTGTGTGACTGTTCTGGGTTGATTTGGGCATTTTTGTTCTCTCCCAACGGCAGCCAATCCCAGTGTTCCTCACTGTGCACAACGCAGCAGAAGTTATAACCTGTGGGTTCCAGAAGTTTGTGCAGAAAGAGGTAATTGATCTGTTTATTGATACATTCAAGGTAACTACTGTGACATAACTGCCCTATGACAAGATACTTAATTTCTTTTAATACAAGCAGCATTAGTACAGTGTGCTTTTCTAGTCTCTCTGTGATAGCCGGTCATTAGTGATACCCAGAGAGAGTTTTGCTGTTGACAGGTATCTATACTGATACGAGATATGAAACAGGGCATATGTGTATCACCAGTTTGATCTGCATTTTTAAGACTGGCTTGATCCTACTTGTTTTTTCCTTTTGAAAACTAATATTCCCTCTCTGTCATAATTTTAATGTCCCCACATAAAAATCTCATTGTTTGAGCTGAGAGGGAGAAGGACTAGGTCCTTATATCTAACCAGTATAATATGTCTAGTGTGTTGTATGATTATAGATAGATCATATCTCCATATGAAATGCAGGAGGAACAGTGCATTTTTAAATTTGTTTTGAATTCTTGAGAATCTACCCTAAGACCTGTGAAAGTCAGGTAAATAATTCCTGCACCCTTTAGTAAGAGCTGAGTTTGTTTCTCACAAACTGTAATAGGAAGCCTTCTTTTTAGGCTTTTCTTGAAATGTTTTTCTAATTGACTAAAGTGCTGCTGTATGAGCTAACACGGGGAAATCATTCATCACAAAGTCATTTTTACAGTGACCTCTGTCTTGCTGTAAAAGGGATCTTCCATTCATTATAGCTGTTGTCTGTATAGAAGACAAATAAATGACCCATGTTTACTACTTGTAACAAACAGAAGAGGTCACTAAGGTTATGCCTAAGGGACATAAGAGTGTGTACCATACTGTGTCCCTGTGACATTGTCCTCTGATTAGTGTCCCTGTCAAGGTGTTTCATATTTTCCTTCTATGTCACATGCTTATGATTCCTCTCTTTAAAAACAAAAGCACTGCAGACAAGGATAATGCAAAGACAGGCCTTGCTGAGAAGCTTCTCAGGAATAATTTTGTACCAAAGAATTGGGAAACTTTCATGAGTTTAGATCAAGACTGATTTGACTGATATCTTTTATTAGGTACCTAATTAGTACCTAATTAAGAAAACTCAGTATTTGAGTATATACATGACACAGTTTTGGTATAATTCAAGTTAAGTTTGAGGACGAGATATAAAGTTCATGCTGGTTTTAGATTTACCTGCTGGTAAGTAATCTGAAAATATAAATCAAGTTGAAGTAGGCTAATCCGTAATCCTGATTCTTCTTTTCCAATTTAAATTTGCTCAGCCATGCTCGAATGTAATGGGCTGTTGAATGCTGCTAATTGAAGTTTTAATGTGTTTGGTGCAATAAGATCAGCTATCATCATTTTCCAGTTTTTGGAAGGAGAAAGGACTATTTCACCATTTTTATTGTTAAATTTTAATCTTTTAATCATACTTTCTTTTTTACAGCAGACCTCTCATCTGAAAGTCTGTAGGTAAGCTTTTAAAACTACTCACATTCAGATTCAGACTTGTTTTGGCTCCAGCTTCTCTATTTGCTTCAGATAATGGCACCAGAACAATGAAGAATGTCAGGCACATTCCTGTGGGCGGTGAGCCTAAGTTGCAACATAGGAGTAATTAAATATTTTTAAACTTTTTTTAACCACTACTTGAATCAATACGTTTTTTCTTCTTACAAAAATTAAAAAAGCCAGAAGACCAGTCTTCCTGAATGAAAAAGCAGTGCTCATAACGTTTTTGGAAAGGAGATGGAAACCAGGTTTGAAGTTCCAATGGGTGATCATAAACATTATCAGAAAGATGATTAATGTGTTAGAAAATAGCTAAAAATGCCTTTTGTGAGAAATAAAAGGTAAATAATATCTATTTCTGCTAGAATAATTCATTTCAAGGTGGGAGTATGTCTCTTCTGCCATGTCTGAAGTGACAGGATGAGAGGAAATAGCCTTAAATTGCACCAGGGAAAGTTCAGATTAGATATCAGTAAAAAATTTTCACCGAAAGAGTGGTTAGGCATTGGAATAAGTTGCCTAGGGAGGTGATGGAGTCACCATCTCTGGAAATGTTCAAGAGGCATCTGGATGTGACACTAGAGGAGATGGTTTAGGGGTGATTATGGTGGTACTGGGTACTGGGGGACAGATGATTTTAAAGATCTCTTCCAACCTCAATGACTTTGTGATTCAGTGATAATAAGCTACACAGCCTACCAAACCTTGATGGCCCTGGTTGTTTAGGCTTCAAAAAGGAGATAGAAAAGGACAAACAAAAGTCAACCAGCCATGTATTAAAAGTTTCATTCTATGCCCCCATATCCCTTGAAGAAAGCACACTTGTTATTCTCCACATCCTGTAATCTTTTAGCTGTACTTAAGAATGGATAATGTTGGGTTACTATTTAGTATACTTAGAGGCATTATCTTCCTAATTTCTTCCTGTTATTTCCATTATCTAACTTACTCTGGCCTTGTCTTTACCACTGGATTATTGTCAAGGATACTGGAGTTTTTTATAATCTTTATTCTGTCTTTTCCTATGCCTCTAGAGAGCAGGAAAATAAGCTCCCAACCCAAGCCTATGTTATTATTAATAGTGACAGTCCACAGAAATTCGACATCAGTGTATTCAGTGTAGCATGAAGAAATACTGACTCAGCCACAGGTTGAGAATTTATTTAACTTAAATCAGTGGATTAGGAGAGGACTTACATTGTCCTTAAACCATTTCTAGTGTAGTACCTCTCATTTTCACTTTGCTCTGTGTTCTGGAGTAACACCATTACTTTTAAGGGAGTCACTTCTACTGGAATTATTGTAACAGGCAGTTCACCTTAATAAAAGAAGTTTTTGGTAGCCATTCAGACAGAAATTGGTTGATTTTGGCTTTCTGAAGAAGCCTAGGGAAGCCAGATGGCAAGTGAAGAATAATATTCTCTATCAAAAAAACTTGATTTCATCACTTCTGAGATGCTTTTTGCTGCTTCTGTTCCATACAACTTCGCTGTGTGTGAGTTACAAAGAACGCATGAAGTAAAACTTAATTGTGGTGGCGGAAATTGCTTTTTAAATATAGAATAAAAAACTGAAGTGTCAGTGTAAAATTAAGTGGAATTGCCTCTACTTTGCTGAGAGTACAAATCCAAGTTGCAAGCTTTTGATCTTGTGGTTTGTTTTTTTTCTCTTCTCCACAGTGTGCTGTTCCTCCTGGCAGCAGCAGTGTGCCTTCCTTTGTGTGACACACAGGTGAGTTCTGCTTAGTAAAGCAGCTCTAGTTAGACCTTGATGTGTGACATTGTGTTAGGATACGAGGGATGCAGCTTTTACTTGTAAGCTAGGGTAGGATTCCTGTGAAGGAACTGTAAATGTTTCCCGTTGCTGTGTTGTAGTCGTGCTGGTTTTACTGTGTTTGCAACATGGTAAAACCTCTGAGCAGTCTGGACATGCAGCTCTTTGGTGAAGATAGTGGCAGGGGAAACCATGATTTTACTTCTTACAGGGCTTACAGCAAATCACTTAGGTTTGAATTAATTGCATGTACTTTCAGAAGGTTCCTAAACTAGTTTTGTATTCATTCTACACGCTTTCTGTAGCTACTGGAGAAAGAAAGGAGGTACCTCCAGAGAGTGCTCCATCCAGCAAAGGTTTCTTCATTGGAGATTCTCATTTGGAGACCTATGAAGGCTGCTTGCTTGCTTTAGACACTTCAGTTAATATCTGAAGTCGGATGAATCTGAAACTTGTCTGGATTCATCTGATCAAATGTGGCCATTGGAAGCATTGCACTTGCACTAGCTCTGCATAGTCCATGGAGCAGAGCAGGAACTTCTGATATATGATTCATCTCCCTTGAAAGCAGACATCTAAAATGTCTCCTCTCAAAATATTTGGTTTTACCCATTGATTGTGAAGAGGGCCTGCTTTGCTCAAGGGCAGATGTCTGTTTGAAGCACTCTTTTGGATACTCTGATTAGTTGGAGCCTTAGCTGCTGCAGAGGCTGAGAGGAGAAAGGAGACATGACAAACACCTTAGTGATGGTCCTCTGATCCTTTTGCTCCTCCCTGATTGCCAATACAGGACTAAACAGACTGAGGTCCATATGATTGGATTGTTTAAAATGTTGTACATAACTGAAGGAAATAGAACCATCCCTGTCAAGACAAGCTGAGAACCTCGGTAACTGGCATATGCCAGGTCTCTAAGGGGGACAGAAAGAACTTCAGTCTTCCCAATCTTCTTTAGTCATCTTCTCTTTCCTTTTAGCATTGGTCCCACTTGCTGTACTTGCTTTGGGAAGTTAACTGCAGGGAAATCACAATATGTATGTTTACATGAACATGTTTTTATTTATGTAGATGTTCTTTATTGCAGTTTGATCCAAGTGGTTATTTATGGGCTCTAATTCACTTGGTCTGTGTTGGTAAGTAATTTTCTTTAAGAAAAGACTTAGGAAGAGTAAATGTTTTGGAGAAATGAGCTTTATTATGAAATTACCGATATTTGAGATTCTTTACGTAAGAAACACTTGGAAAGAATGAAGATCAGTAAACATAAGAAAATGCGTTCCTATTATAGCTTTTATATTGAAAACAACATCAGAATAAACTAGGTGTTGCAGTCTGTTAACAGTGGATGAGAAAATGCACATACAATTTTAATCAGCACTAAGCTCTTCTGGTTGTTTTTTAATGGGTACCTACTGAGAGACACTTCTTTCTAAGAGGAGAATAAACATGAAAAAGGCAAACAATAACTTGTAGTTAGACCTTTATTGCACACACAGATTTTATTTAAAAACTGACAAAAATACTCTAAAATATCATGGAATATGGTCCCAGAGGAAGGATGTTGAAATGCTGGGGTTTTTTAAGCAATCATACGCATTTTTTAAGAATTTTAACAGTGAGTCGCATAACCCATCAGGTTTTCTTTTGTCTTTTTTTCAGACTAAACATTGATTCAGATAAATCATAACTCTTCCCTGAAAAGCTAGAAACAGTCAGACCCAGAAAATCTGAAGAAAACAAGAGTAGTAATCTTTAACTAGGAGATTTGTGTCCTTTGGAGCATTTGGGTGGATAATCAGTAACTTGTATTTGATTCTTACCTGTCCTATAGACTGAGTGACTCATTCATATGTTAAGTCTTATCTGCAGATTAAGGATGATTCCTTCTTTATTTCTTCTATTCAAATTGTAAAATTTTCAGGGCAGAGGTAATGTGTTTATATGTATTCGTGTCTAGAGGAGGTCTACAGATCCCATTCTAAAATGTTGTTAATATACAAATATGAAATAGGAGTTTTTTTCCTCTAGAAAATATTATATATATATAAACATTTGCTCATTTAGAAAAAAGTAGAAGCTATGGATTTTTTCACGTCAAGTACTTATTTGACGTAATGAGTGATGTTACTGCTTTCTCAAAGCCAAGTGGTTTCACTTGTAAAGCAGTGCTTGGTCATGGAGGTGGAAAACTGCTTAGAGAATCTTCAGAAGGGTTCTTCTGAGTGTTTGAAACGTGTAGGAAGTGCCAACAAAATGTTTATGCTCAAAATATAGCTTCTTTCCATTTCTTTTGGTTTTGAGAGTTGTTGATTTGACTGTTGGTTTTTGTGTAATTAGATTTCCTATCAACTGAAATAAAGATGCTATAAGAAAGGGCAAACAGATAAACCAACTTCCTGCATTAAGTTTGTCGAGACAGGGCATTAGAGAAAGGACATGTGTTCTACCCTTCGCCTTACCTAACAGAGGCAGAATTGGGTACATCTATTTCAGTGTTCCACTGGATTTAATTTTCATGTTCTGGTTCTCTCTGTGAATTAAAAAAAAAAATACCCCAAGGCCTTGAAGAAAGAGTCTGAAAAAATAGAGCCTGAAGCTGTAGTTTCTTCCATGAGTGCTTAAAGCTTTACCCAGAATAGAAATGTGAGCTAACCAAGAGGTGGGTGGGTCAAAAATGTAAAGAACCTGGAGATGCTAGAGCTGAGAGAACTTTAAATAGTGAAGATAGCTCAGAGCCAACAGCTCAGAGCCAACAGCTCTTCGTAGGGGTCCACACAGTTTAATATGTCATAGAACTTATCCCCAAAATCGAGTGGGCTGAAGAACCCATTCTGTGACACTTCTGTATGTATTTACACACAAAAGCACGTACACACACACTCTCCTTTGTAGCTGCTGTGAGCTAGAAGTTGTCTCTTCCTCAGAAGAACTAGCAGAACCACAAAGCATGACTGTACTCTGAGATGATAACACTTTGAAAACTATTAATTTGAAGCGATAGGTTCATTTTACTCATGGTTTAGGAATCCTTTGTGCCGTGTTGCTAAACTGTAATTCAGAGGGGTTCACGTCTGCCAGTACCACGGCCAAACAAGCTGTTGTTTGTCAGAATGATTGCATGTTATGGCAATTACACATGTCATTTCAATTACAGGGGCTTACAAAGTATTTCACAAGTTGTGGAAACCTGGCTCCTTAAGGTAGCGTGTTTTCATATTCTTTTACAAAGAAAGAGATTGCTATCAAAGGGGCTTAGAAACACATCTGTGTAGCAGTCAGGTAAATTGTAGGGATCTCTGCATTATCAGCATGAGCTGGGCCACTCTTGGTTAATCATTAATGACTTCCCTTGCAAGAGGAGCCTTATTTATTGTTGGTGACAATAGCATGTGGTTATTGATAGTTGTACTGCTAACTGGGACACTGAATTAGTTTTAAACGTTGTGTTATCCAAGGGTGATGACTCAGTCCTGGAAAAAGAACCCCTAATTACTGGCACAGGTGTTGAGGCAATGTTAATTTGTGTTCATGTGGAAAGCTGCATGGTTTGAATCTGTCAGTACTTCCCTTTGTGACAGTCTCAGAAGTGTTCAGCAGTTGCTGACTTACCACAGGACTGGAATGGCCAAGTGCCTTAAGCACCTTGAAACCTTTCACTAATCCTGTTTGCTTGTTAGAACTCCAACCATGCAATAGTAGTCTTAGAATCAGATGGCACTACATGTTCACAGTGTCTGTAATCTGCAGTTGTCTGTATAGATGGAGATGGATCTGTTGCCACTGCATATTATGTATATGTTCATAATATATGCATCTGTAGAATATGGATGACCTCATTTATTTCAAAACCATTTTCCATCTCTGGTTAAAGGTTCTAAATTTTAGTCAGTCTCATTTTACTTCACTTTAAATGAGACTTCCACTGACATAGTAACAACAGAAATAATATGTGAATTATGTGTAAATTAATATGCTGATTAATTGAGAATTTAGCTAATTTATTAATATCGATAAAGTTATTACTATATTATATTTATTATGTATATAATATAATGTTACTATTACCTAACTATATTATATAAATTAATATAATGGAATATTATAGTGTTATAATACTGCTTAATATACTGATCTCTTATGCCAAATGAACTGCTTTGCTAAACGAGCACCTTTTTTTCTTTCCCTCCTCTTCCAGTGATCTGGACCAACAGTACATCAACTATGTATTCAGGTAAAATGAATAAGTCTTTGATACACCATAGCTGGTTTTATGTGGTATATGTTTTCATTTTCAACCATGGCTTGGTGAGGAAACTCATAGCTACCACTACTTAAATGTATTAATTTAGAAGGACATTCACTGAAAGAACAGTGCTAAGCTGAACGGCTTAGCAGATGAATTTTTTTGGCTCTGATTATGGATGGATATGCCAATATACACCTGGGAAGGTAACGAGGTGTTAATTATGAATTTTTAAATCACCACGTGCACGAGTGATCTATCATTTCCAGAAATAATATTTACAGAGTAACTCCCTGGCAATACCCCACTTCAGAAAATAAAACTTGTACAAAATTGCCAGAAGGGGAGGTAGTGATTACAAAAGTACTGTGTGCAAAGAACATGAGCAGTAACTGATTGTTCAGAGTGCTGTTAGTGGGATTGAGTAATTCAGACTTTCAGTTGTTTTTCTGATTTGGAGATATAAAAGTGGCTTGTTATTTTTTAGCTAGTGAAAGAACCTGAGTCACCGACCATATTCCCCTGCTTTTTTAAATTCAATCCTTTCCTCAAAGAGCCACACAAGTCAGAACATTCAGTGTACTTGGCTTCTGTTGGGTTTTGGTGAGGCTTTGTTTGAAGTAGGGCATATAGAATCTTGATTAGATTCTACTTCATCCATATGTTGGATGCCCATTCTCCTCCATCCATATGTTGTATATGTTGGCGTCTTCTTAGGATGGTAGCTGAAGTCATATGGGGACACTATGAAATATGAATAATAAATTCAAAGGGTAGTCAAAAGGAATGAAAGAGGGAGCAGAAGTTAGGAATAAGCATAACAAAAGTAAAGTTGTACTTCTCTGTTTGATTAGATGGATGACCACATGAAAGATCATTGATAGGAACACATCAGAGACACCAGTGTAGGAGCATTGCTTCACTTCAGTTCCCATTTATCTTGTATCATCATCCATATGATAACAGTGCCTCTCTTTCTATCTTAGTTCAATCAAATCTCCTATTTTGATACATAAGTAATGCAGGCCTGTGATTTTGCCTCTGTATGATTCCAGTGTCTATTCACCAGCGTCCCATTCGTGGATAATATCTGAATAGCAGTTTGCTTGAAGTGGTCTCTTGTTTAAATCAGTTGTTTTCCTTCTATGCAATGCACTATGAAATGCAAAGCAAATCAGTTTTATGCAAAGGAGGTAGATGTGTTTATTGAAACTTTGGAAGAATTAGTTGTGGAGTTTGCAAATAGCTGCCACACGCAGAAATAACCCATGAAGTCTTGAATGAGCTGTAGCTGGTTTTCTGTGTTGAAGGGAAAATAATTAAACAAGCAATAAAATCAATTGATTTTTCATTTGGCAGTTGCCTGAATATGGCTTTCAGTTGTCATTTTAGTTGAAAATTGCACATAGACCTGAACCTTTAAATTCAGATTTTGGTTGAAGGTCTTAAATTTGCAGCTTTGTTTGAAAAGTCAGGGCTGGGTGTCTTCTCTGTTAATTGGCGATCGTGGTCCTTTGGAGTCTGTGAACTTGTGTCCAGCAGAGAGCAGGAGTTCCACATTACATGGAAAGTATGATTGTTTATTTGGAAGCTTTTGAAAGGGAGAAACTTCTTGCTAAGGAGCTGTGAGGTGCAATGGTATGTATTTTAAAACTTTTCTTTTTACAAAAAAACCAAACAAACAAATAATCCAACAATGGATTTGTGCAATTTGGAAGATGGCTATTTTCAGCATCTGCTTAAAAACAAAAATTTGTTATCAAATCTTCCAAAGATTTTCACCAATAAGAGGCTTAAAGGTCAGCATAGCTTATAAGATGATGGTGCAAAGCAATTGCTGGAAAACAGGTGACTGAGTGGAGGTAGCAGACTGGATGCTTCTTTGTTTGGCTTGGGTCTATAGATATCTGTATACGTTTGTATTTCTTTGTATTACAAAAGCTCACAGTCCATAACATTTGGACTAGGGAAAACAAGCAGTACCATAGAAATGGGATAAGTGACATCTGATTTCTTTTAGAGTTTTGTTTTGTCATAATAGCTGACGATGTTTGAAAGGGTGTGAAATTTGGTGGAAGCTCTTTCCATGTTTGCAACCTCCATGGCAAGTATTTAATGGGACTTAAATCCTTCTGCTGCAGAAGGCACTGACGGGGTTTGTTTCTTCGTGAGACCTTCAAAGAAGCTGTTCAGAGTGTTTGAGAGCTATGTAGAGCTGTGTACACACAGCTTTACTGCACAAGCTTAACTTCTGTAGAAAACAGTCAAAAGTATTTTTAAATCTCACTGAGTAGAAGAATATTCTCCGAATGAACTCTAACTCCTCAAAGGCAGCTCTGGGTCAGAATTACTGTAAACGTGGGTTTATCTCTGTGAGAGGGTGCCCAGCACTAAATTCTGTGATTTAGCAGGTATTAATGTATGTGCTGCTTCCTGTACTCAAGGCTTCTTGAGGACTGTTTTGGCCATGACAGAATCCCAGTTCCACCTCCAGAACAGGATACTGTAACGTGTACTGGAGATCTTGCCTATACAAGCATGATTGTATGATTCCACGATTTATGAAGGAACTTGCTAGTGTGGCATTAGTGCAACTTTCTCCTCTTAGCACTATGATCCGTGGGTCTTTAAAGCTGCTTATTTCTAACCTAAATCACACAGCCGGCGTGCGGCTGTGCGGGTAAAAGAAAGCAGCTGTGTAGGCACAGGCAGATAGAATGTAGAATCATTGAATCATTTAGGTTGGAGAAGATCCTTAAGATCACCGAGTGCATTAACCAAACACTACCAAGTCCTACACTCGCTAAACACCGCATGTATATGTCTTTTAAGTACTCTTGGGGATGGTGACTCAACCACTGCCCTAGGCAGCCTGTTCTAATGGTTGATAACCTTTTCAGTGAAGAAAATTTTTCCTTATATATAGGAAAACATATAGGATTGTAACAGAAGAGGCTGTTCAAAGCATTTCTGTTCAGTATGAAAGCACAGTTGTACTCTCAGTGTAGAGACTACCTGCATAGAGCAGATGGAAAGTTTTGCACCACATTGCTGAATGTTAGAATGTACCAATATGTTAGAGTAAAAAATATATATTCTGATTAAAAAGAAACATTAACTGTATTGGCTTTGTTGGATGATTCCAGAGGTGCAACTGAAATTAGCAAAGTCTCCTAACATATACTGTCCTTACATGCCATGCACTGTTTCTTCTTCTAAAATCTGGAACAGTTTGGGAGGGAAAGACATCCTAAGAAAATGTACATGAATGAGAACTTTCCAGAACTAAACAGATCTGAAGAAATATTTGCTGATGTTGAAAGTGTGGCGTTCTTCTCTCTTCATCACTTACAGCATGATTATTCAATGGCTTTTAAAAAGGGAACCAGGAGCAAGTGTAAGAGGGAAAGCAGAGCTGTGCTATACGGAGAAGGGAGGAGTGAGGCAGTGCCCAACCCCATCCTGTTCATCCCTCTCCCTTGTGTCTAAGCATCTGGGGCAGGGAGAGGGAGGAAGAGAAGGGGGGCAATATACTTCCAAGATACTCCCTCTAATTCTCCAATTCTCTTGATCCCACCTCCTTTTTTTACTGCACTGTTGTATTTTCCTGTACTCTGACTTCTGCATTGGTGTTCTACTTACTAGTACTTTTTCTAATAATCTTGTATTTTCTTTATTCCTTTCTGTTCCCCTACTTTTTATCAAGAAAGGAATTTCTCCCCCCCTAGAAGGCAAGAGTTAGTGTGAGGGGAGAGGTAGTAATGTCTGCCTCACATGTTGAGGGATACATAATGTGTCTTAGAAGCAGGTTGCAGTTCATCTTGGACTTTCTCCCATGCTGAGGCAGGTAGAAATATGTTAATTCTTATGGAGAACCTGTAAGGAAGTTTCAGTACATCCCAATATCTGTCCCAGTCTGATCTGTGTTCACAAAGGCATACCATATGGCCTAGCAGCTACTGGTGAGGAGAAAACAGACACTTGAGAGTTTCAAGTGGTGAAGGAGTGACACTGACAAAGGTATGAGGTAAAGGCTCTACTCTATGCAGCTAAACTAAATCTGGATTCTGGAGGAGCTGCTAATCTATCAGTTTTGTGAATTAAAAATGCTGCAGTAGATTTTCTGCAAAAGAAGAGGGCAGCTTTGCAGGCAGAAATTAATATTCTTGCTGACAAAACCTCTTTTTAGTCAGAAAGGAAACTGCAGGTGACCCAGCCCTTAATATTGAGTACAGGGAAAAAAGAGAGGAGCAGAGAAATCCAGCACAGGGGTTTTCGTTTTGCTGCAGCCTGGTATCCAGGCTGTCCTACTAGAAACCTTTGAATCTCTCATCTGGTTTTTCAACATCTTTGTGTCTTTTCTACTGATGCTCTGTTCAGAGCAGAGCTACAGTGCAGCTGTAATGCCATCTAACCCATTTGCCTTAGCCTGCCCCACACTTCACAAATAAGGTTTTGTTTTCCTCATATGTTTTCTTTGGTTCAAAACCTGGGATGTCTGGTAGGATTATCAATTCCTCTTGGTTGCAGAAGGAAGTTTCTCTCTGAGTTTTCCCAATCTCGGTGTTTTTTTATTTAAAATTTAATAGTGCAAAAAGGAAGTGGAGTAACACAGTTTAGTCATAATTCTCATCACTGTTGATACAGTTTCCTTTCCCCTGCCAGTCTCCTGTTTTCTCTGTTTCTCAGTCAAAAGCAATAGACCTTTGCTTCCTTTTCTCTCTTTAGCAGGAAACTGAGGAATTGGGCCTGTTTATTGTGAGTTCCTCTTGGCGTCCCATGCAGGGAGAGCACCCGTGTGTGGGGAGGAATGTGGGGGGGAAATTACCTGCTGTGATCTGCTTTGTCTTCTTCATTATCTTTGTGACAACTGCATCATTTAAAAACATGTATAAATGTTGACAGTGTGAATGTACTGTAGCAGCTGATGCCTTTCAAAGACATACAGAATGTGAAGCCTAAAATACCTGCCTGTCTATCCCTCATAAACCCTTTCCTTCTCCAGCCCATTATGTTCCATGGCTGATTTCAGTGACAAGCTCCCCCTCCAGGGCTTCCTTGGCCATGGCATTTCCATGCTCTTGGCAGTTCGTTTTGCTGCTGGTGCCTCTGTGAATGACGCTGGAATTCACCAGAGCTTGCCGAGGGCAGGTCACCAAGTGCAGTAGCCTGATCATGTAGAGAGCTGGGACGAGCTGAGTGAGCAGGTTTCGAAATAGTGGCTGTGTTAACACTGGAAAAGGGAGTTGGCCTGGAATGCTTTAGCATTCATAACATTAATGATTGTCTTTTTACCTCTCTAAGTGCAATGCTTGCTACTTTTTTCAAGAAGAAGACTCTGCAGATGCTCTAACTTATCCTTAGCGTTTGTCATCGATGTATGTTGTTAACTGGAAGAAGCTGTAGCTCTGCTTTGGAGGCATACATGCTTCTCCCATCTTAGAGTGCCCCACAATATGTTTCTGTAGCCTTCTAACCTTGGAAACAACTTGGAATGAAAAAATTTGGGAAAAATCAGAAATTTAGAGAAAGAATCAGTAGCACTGAAAAAGGCTCTGTACAGCCTATGCAAACTCAGAGGATGAAGTCTTTGTAAGACCTCAGAAATCTTAAGTGATACTTCAGGTAAAGGACTGGTTACAGTTGATTTGCTTGATCACTTATATCTTTCTGAAAAATCATTTGGGCTGTTACTTCTGAAAAATCATTTGGGCTGGTACTTAGTGTTATTTTCATGTGTTTTCAAACTTATTTAAGTGCAGTTGTTCTGGCATAACACAGAACAACAACCATACATTGCAGCTTTGATGGTTTAAAAATGGGACAGCAGGAAAAACTTCTTTGCTAGGAGGGTAGGTAGAGTGGCCCTAGGACAAGTTACCAGAGACGTGGAATCTCTATGCTGGTAGATTTTTGAGACAGAACCACAGAGGGCCTGATCAAATATTCATGATAGTTCTGCTTCAGGTGAGAAACTGTATTAAGTGACCCCAGAGATTCTTTCCCAATCAACTTTGTTTTTCTTTTAATTGATACTTATGCCTCAGTTATTCTACTTAACTGGAATAAGTTTCACCATGAAAAAAACAAACACAAACCTGTCAATTTATAACGTTCAGCCCTTGTCATATATTCTGTAGTATCCAATTAATTAATTTTTTAAAATTTTTCTAGTGTGGTGCTGTTGGCCTCTGCATCCCATCCAGCAGGTAAAGTGTATTGAGTTGTTCCTTTTTTAGGTTTTCATATTGCCTTTCCTTTCCATGCATGTTTCTAGAGACCATACCCTCTAGAATTTTAGCCTTGGATATGACCAATAATATGTTATCGTGTAGGAACAGCAGAGAATAGTATATAACTTGGTGTAATTTGCATGATATTTCCTAATACCTTTCTTAGCTGCCCTTTGCAAAGAAGCAGCACGGGATAGACAACAAAGAACAGTTTTTGAGTTGGTGCGTGGTAAAAAACAAGGATTCCCTGGGTCAACATGTCCTCTTCAGAGCAGTGTCCCAGCAGGCCATATAGAACTGAGTTTCCTTCTCTGCATTGCCCTCAGTGCTATGCAGAGTGTTGGTTTTGTTGCTTTCATAAGAGGTATCCCATTGCTTGAGCCCATGACAGGATTTGAAGTAGCAACAGATCAAATGGTAAAAATTGATAACTTTGTTATTTTATGGTGGCTAATAATCCTACCATAGTGGTGTTTTTATAGTTAGAAGGGTAAAGATGATCACCTGTTGCTTTCACTAGACATTTGTTCAGTCAGAAATGAAGGAAGCATTTAAAGAAACATAAATTCCTCTTTTTGCCTGGTGGTGCATATTGTGTACATAGGCACCCCCCCACACACACAGGATAGACATAAATGTTAAGCAAAACAGTCCTGAATTTCAAAAAGTGAAGGATGGAGCTTCCTGCAAATCTGTAGAGCCTAAAGGCTAGAGAACTCCTAGAAATTGTTGCTACCAAGAGCAACCAGGGCCCAGGTTCCTGGAAATTCAAGTACTCAAGAGCTCTACTTGGACCTGGGAGAACTTAAACCTCTCAACATGCTATGTGTTAGAGAGTTCAAACGCCAAAGACGGAAGCAACCGCCATATGTGTGTGTTTCCTGTTACTTCAGTAGGAATTATGTCAAACTCTATAATAAAAGAAGTGGATATAATGCATGTCTATCCACTGGCAACTGTTGCTTAAGCAGGATTTTCTGTATACTCACAGAGAATACTTTTACATATCCCTTTTTCAGCCAAAGGCAGGAACTGGCTAAAAGCAAGGTCAGAAAGAAATCATTAAACACACCAGAAATGTGGAAAGCATCATAAATGAGAAGTTAGCCAGCTGTAAAGGCTCAGAGGAATGTTAAACTAATAATGTTCCTGTAATTGCTTTTCCCTTGCTTGTAACAGTGTTCCACTGAGTATATTGCTTTGTCCCTCAGGTGATCTCTTCAGTGCCTTGGACTTTCCATTCCTGTACTTCTACAGGTTTCATAGCAGCTGCTGTGCCAGGTAACGTTTCTGTAACAAGACATGTAAATGTTTTCAAAATAAGAGAGCACATTGACTTCCAACCTTGACTCTCAGTTAAAAATTTTGGAGTATGTAAAGCCTTAGTTGTACTAGTTTCTGCTGGCATAAGCCAGTAAAAATGCAGAGAATATACATCTGTGCATATCTGTGGATATGCATTTGAAGGCCTGAGATTCAAATGTGTGGAATTTTATGTGTTTCCTTGAGTGAGCGCATTCTGATCCGGAGAGTTCCCAGTCACCAGTAAAATAATTTTTACCAAATGTAGCAAAGCTTTGATACATAGCATCTCTCAAATGCTTCTGAAGTCGGATTAGCCCTAGTAAAACTTGCTGTTTGCAGCGATTACAAAGTATTAGTCTTCAGCAGTATATGGCTGTACATGGATTTATTTGCCTGTACATCTTGTTATTTGGCAGAATGCTTTTTTGGGGTAAAAAGGAGAGGCTTTAACAAGCATTCCATTATTTTGAGAAGCAAAAGTTCACTGCCTAATAGCATAATTCTTACAGGACAACATAAATATGTTTCCTATAGATCTTAATTATCTCAAAAAAAAAACCAACTTATTCCCATCTTTTCCCTTCAGTCTTTTGCTAAATAAAAGTATTTTCTTTTTAGAGGGGAAAAAAATCTTTTCATGCTAACTGATGGCAAAAATATTTCCTCGTTTTTAGGGTTTTTCTTACTAGTATCCAGATTTTCCATTAAAAGGGGATATTAAGAATGATTGTTAAATAATTTCCAATGTAAATAGGTTTTTGTTATGAAAGTGACTTTTTTTTCAAGGGTGGACTATCCATACTGCAAGTAGCTTGTAGTTAGATATTTTTTTTGTGAAGGCAAGGTCTAACTGCAAGCACTAATGGATATCTGTCTAGCCCAGACATTCTTCTCTTTCACTTCATTAGAATTTTAACACTTGTAGACTCCCACTTCTGTTTCCATTGCCCCACCTTCAGCAGATGTATAGTAGATAGCACAGTGCACTGCAGGAAGGGGAAAAGGAATGGTTAGATGGAGAAACAAGCATCTCATTTGCTCTCCTACGTCTTGTAATCCAGCGTCTTTATAGACATAAAGGATTTGGAGGAAAACCTATACAATGTAAAGTAAGGGCAACTGATACAGCTAAATCTACTGCCTCTGCAGAATGTCTGAAGCATTAGCAATGAGGTGAAAAATACTCAATCTATTTAACAAAATAAATTGATGTTAATTGTGGCGTCAATATTTAGGTAAACATTCCCATGCTTTGCTGTTTCACTGTTTATCTTTGAATTACACTAAACATTATCAAATCTCTCTGACTAAAAGCCCTTTGCAGCAGAAGATTTGAAACAAACTTAAGCCAGCTACTGGACTCTTAAATAAAAGTCTGGGCAATGTTGGATCATTGAACTAACTCATTTCTCAGAGTGGAATGTTCTACTGCTCAGCACTTCATCTTCTGCAACAAGTTGCTGAGTTTGGGCCTATCTTTTATCATCAAAACATCATCTACTTCCTTGTCTTCAGGCATAGCAGATAGTCCTTTAGGGTCTCATGTTATGGCTCAGTGTAAGAAACGCTAGTTCCTTCTACTCCTGGGAAGTTACCTTACTGTTTGGTACCTGTACTGACATGTGGCTGAGATGGAACTTTGCCACCTATATTGAGCAGGAAACAGCACTTGGCTGATATACAGGAGCCCAGCATGGAAAATTCTGACCCAGGGAGCCAGCATTTTCCACACTTCCTGCTGTTGTAGAGAGGGGACCACTTGCACTGCATCACTATCCAGAACAGCATACCCTCTGCAAATACCAAGGCACTTTTTGCTTCATCACTTGTATGTGGTATTGATCCTGTCTCCTTTCCCATGCAGCTTCCCACAGTACTTTGTAATCTCTTACGCCTCACAGTAATTTTTGCCTTACATATTCTGAAGTCCTTTTTCTATTCCCTGCTTGCTGGTTTGCACTATTTCACTGGTTCACAACCAGTGGGTTGTACATAAGTCAGAAGTGAAACAAACTCCAGAACTAAGGCTCATAAGTTCTGTAAAGTCCAGTGAAATGTGGAACAGTTTCCTTTAGAGTACTCTTGGCTACAGGAGCATTGGGAATTGCTGTCCGATATGACTTGAGAATCAAAATTCTCCTAATTGTCAGCAGAAAACTTTGGAGCATCCTATTCCCAGCACTACTGAGTCATCTATTTGTTATACAGTAGAGATGTATTTGACTTCCTAATTGGAATTTAGGTTTCATGAGATTTAAACAGCTTGAAAGCTTCAGGCAGAAACTTTCCACTGGATATTTTTTCAGTTCAAGACTCTGTGGAGGTTGAAGTGAGTTGCCAGACATGTGTGGTTCCTGTCGAAATTAGCATTGCTGTTATTCAGGGCCATTTCAATGCCTGAAGTTAATATTTCACCTCATGTTTCCAATAATCTCTACTTTTCTGATTATGCAAGTGCATTAGAGACCAGCCATAAGAGCGTCAGACTTACTTTACTCAGATTCTAGTCACTGACTGAACAAAACCCAAGATGTACCGGACATAACGTAAGCTCCTTGTCCACCAGCTTTCTTTACCCAAATGGGATTAACACTGCAGTTCTGAAAACCAAGGTGCCTGTAAAAGGTTGTTTAGTTGAAATTAAGAGATTTTATTAACAAGCTTTCCCTATCCCTTGCAGTGGACTGTTGGGATTCTTTCTGATGTTGCACACAGCAAAGCTAAAAAGCAGCACAACCTCAGGGCAATATGCAGCCTGGAGTTTCCTTGCAAAGGTAAGAGACCCTCACAGGAACACAGTGAATCTGGGCTTCTCCTGGGAGAACTGAGGAATTTCTGCATCTCTCTAGTTTCCCTTGCTATTCCTACTTGACACTCCTAGGGCCCGTCTGTGCAGCCTGCATGTAGAGTTGAGACAACAAGTATCAGGTGCATAATACACCAAGATCATTAGCTGAGATGAAATACTGTGTATAAACTGAGCATAGTGCTTTCCAAAGCAATCTATACTTTCCAAAGGTGTTTTGGAGAAGAATACTCCTTCTGAAGTGGGTGCACCAGCTGTTGTTTGCAGCATGCCTTACCTGAGCCAAAAGTTAAAACTAGTTCCCCGAAGTTCAGTACCAGAACTTCCATTGATTTTGGAGCAGGGGAGAGCTGTGGGTGTCATTTTCCTTAAGATTAACAAGGCTTTTGATGGTATGTCCCACAATATTCTTATATCTAAATTAGATTGTTACAGTCTGGATGGACAGACAACCAGATGGGTAAAAAAAATGATGATCAGGTTCAGAAGGTGAAAGTTAATGATTCCTACTGTAACTGGAGGCTTGTGACAGCCAGAGTGGTGCAGTGGGCTGTCCTGGGACCCTTCCTGTTTAGTATCTTTATTGAAGAATCAGAGGTGATAGAGTGCACTCAGGTTTGCAATGGACACTAAATTGGGAGGACCAGTCAATAGTGCTGGAGGACAAGGTTGCCATCCAGAGGGATCTGGACAGGCTAGTGGAATGGGCTAACAGAAATCTTAGAAAATTCCTCAGGTACAGATGTGAAGCCCTGCACTTGGGAAGGAAGAGCGCCTGGCAATAATACAGCCTAGGGACTGCACAGCTGGGAAGCAGCTCTATGGAAAAGGAGCTGGGGATTTTGGTAGACAGCAAGTTGGACAAGATCCAGCAGTGTGCCCTGACAGCTAAGAAGGCCAAAAGGATCCTGGGTTCTACTTAAAGTAGCATAGACAGTAAATTCATGGAAGTGATCATGCCCCTCTACTCAGCACTTGTTAGACCACATATGGAATAGAGAGCCTTGTTTTAGGCACCTCAATATAGAAGAGACATTGATAAATGGAGTGAGTTTAGCAAAGAGCTGCCAAGAAAGCCAGGGGACTGGAGCACTTGCCTATAGGGGAGTTGCTGCCGGACCAGGCTTGTTCATCCTGGAAGAGAGACAACTCTGGGAGCACCTAACAAATAGCAGCCACCCAGTAGCTATGGAGAAATTATCAAGAAGACAGATCCAGGCTATTCACAGTGGTGCTTAGGGGTCTGTGTGTAAGATAAAAATAGAGGTTCAGAGTGGATATAAGGAAAAATTATTTCACCCCAAGGACAAAACAGGCAAGGGAAGAAGTTGCCCAGGAAGGCTATGCAGTTTCCATCTTTGAAGGTTTTCAAGCCCCAGCTGGATAAAGCCCAGAGCAACCCAGTCTGACCTCCTGAGATCCATTCCTACTGGAATTATCCTATGATCTGAGGATTTAGGGTCTGGCTATGCTTGATTTAAGTTATTAACAGCTGATTTGTTAAATTATTGGTGATGAATGCAGTCAGAAGAGCTTGTCAGACTCCTTTTCCCTGGTTAGATTTTACTTAGTTTCATCACTCTCAGCTAGGTCATCTGAAAACCACAACCTTCCTATGTGGTTTGTGATCACAGCTTTCCTTCTACAGTGAAATGAAGCTGTTGCCTTACCAAAAAAAAAAAAAAGTAGACTTGCATAATATGCTTGTTTAGAAACTGTAGTCAAATGAGTCTGGTTTTTCTGAGGATAACAAGAAGGGAGTGATATGGCTTGCTTTGTGCTTTGCAAGCTGTTCCACACTGTACAAGTCTCACCAGTTTGAATTTCTTCCAAACATTCTGACTGTGCAGATTTCAGTACCTTAGCTTTCTTCTCTCTTCTTGGTAGCAAGTCAACTGATCTAAAACTTGCTCGTGAGTCTTTTTTTTTTTTTTTTTGTTTAACATTCTGGGTTGGAGATAGGAATAGCTGCCTCTGCTAGTGGGTGTGGGTGTTGTGTGTGAATGAGGGTAAATGGTTCTACTTGTGGTATTTATGACCTATCTGAAAAAACTGCAGGCAAAGATGTGTTGTGAAATATATTTTAAGCAGATTTGGGTCCTTCCCAGCTGAAGTGGATCAGAGCCACAAAGTCTGGACTGGATCAAAGCTTTCCCAAAGTTCAAGGGTTTCTAGATTTGTGGGGGTTTGGCTAACTCTAGACATAAGTTAGACAAAGTTTGTTCTAGCCACTGTTGTCAATGAAATTATGTGCCTTTAGAGCAACTAAAAATTTGCCCCTATGTCACTGTGAGGATATAATCTGTTTTTCAACCTTAAAAGTGTGTGCTTTTTAACATGCATGGTTTAATTATCTTGTTTAGGAAAGTTTTTATAACAGCACATTAATCCTTTTCCTTTTGTTGTAGCTTCTGAGTGCTCAAAATATGTTTTGTCTTGAGTTTGAAGAGGGGAATAAGTAATGAAGACATGAGATTTGTCTGTAGCACTAATAATTTTATCAAAACTAGCAGTTTCTCTATGTCTTTATGACTGTTTTAAAGCTTGCTATAAGGCTTATTTAAGGTTCTGATGTACCTATCTGGGGATGCATGAGGAGCATGGAGGAACTGCTGCTCCAAGTACTGAAATGCAGCTGATTTGGGATTAGAAGTCAGTGAATGCTTGAAAAATTCGGAAGCACTATACATCAGTTTTAGAAAGGGATCAAAAGACACTGGAGAGACAGACACAGATAGGCAGAAAGCAAGAGCTGAACTGGAGCTTGCCTGAAGGGTCAGGGCTGATCTCACAGCTCCTACAAAATTCTCCCAAGGAACCTTCTATCTATAAGGAACTATAAATTTACATATGGGGTAGTTAAGAAGAGTCTTATCTGTATGATCACTAATGCTGCTTCCTGCAGGTGTTTGAAAGTATTAGAACTATGTACTAATCCAACTCTGCAGTGCACGGGTATGAGAGTTGTGTCAACCACATCTTAAATCATCATAAGTGTGGAAAAGCAGTATTTAACTAGCACTATAAAAATCTGTTTAAATCAAAGTGTGTGGCTCCTGTGGAAAAAAAAAAACAAACAACCAAAAAAAAAGAAATTAAATTAATGTGGGTAAAGAATAAAGGTAGAAAGTATTTGAGTCTGGACTTGCAGAATGGTATTCAGTGAAAAAAAAAAACACCTCTGGTCACGACAACAGCTTTGCCTTCCCACATGAGCATTTTTCTTGGATTGAGTAGTGCCCTAGATCATCCTCTTAATCTCTCAGACTGACTGGAGTTTTCACCAGCAGTTGGAAAGGAGCAGCACTAGAGGCCAGAATATGTTTATCTTGCAAAAGAGCCAAGAAAGGAGAATGCTGTAGTCCTCAGACAGCAGCACAGGCCTCTAGGGAGGTGCAGAGAATCGGAAAATCTGTTTTCCATGTGGATGCTTTGTACCTATCTGACTGATGAGCTGGGGCTGAGATCGTTGCCACCGCTTCATTTCCAATGAACTAACCATGAGATCTGATCAGGCCTGCTTTGCACATCCAAGGAGACATTCTTTGTGAAGCCCACATATTTGGCCTCCTCCCCTCTAATTTTTCATTCACTTATAAATTGGAGCTGGGTCGTAACTCATTTTTATGATACTTACTTTGGCTTAGGCAACTTAATCAATGTATGAGGTTTTTAAATTCTTCCCTGTAATGATTTCTGACAGCTTTCATGTCAGAGCATTGCTTTGTGCAGAAACAGACGAAGCGCAGGTTTCATCTGTGTATGTAGTCCAGTGTGATATTTATAGTGACAAATGCTCTCTGCACTTTTTCTGTGAGAGCAAATTGTGTGTGTGTTAGTCATATCTTTATAAATTCATGAGAAATGCCAGAAAGAATCACTGAAGTGATCTGTATAACAAAAAAAAAAAAAAAGCTTTTAGGAGGTCCAAGAAATATTAAATGCTTTGTCATAGCCTTGCACAGATTTAATCCCCAGAAGAGCAAGGATTTGAAGCTGTACTTAGATTTCTTGTTTTAATTTGAGAACAGTGCTGGTATCATGGGTCATGTACTGGAAAGAAAAACTGGAGATGCTCGTATACACAGACAGAAGCATCTGGTGAGAACACTAATGAGCTCTAACAGTGCTGTCAGTGAGTTTGTTTTGATTAAGTCTGCCAATCTATATCTGGTGATGAAGCCTGTTAGGGCCTCTAAAAGTTAAGTAGCAGAAATAATTTAAATAATAAATAGAATGGAAAAATTCAGCGAGATACTGGTTACTTATAAATTCATATTGTTATATCATGTTTAATGTTATCCTAATAAACTTATAGTAGGGAATTCAGCCTTTTCTCAGTAGGAATCTATTGAGGCAGCTTGTTATAAAGAGGAATAACAAATGAGAAAATCAGTGGATTTGAGATTCTCTCTTTCTTCCTCATCTGAAGAAACAAAATTGAATAACTGAAATCAAGTTGCATTGAGCTTTACACTGGTTTTCTTATGCATTGTTTGGAAGAAAATTCAGATTAATCAGATCAAGAGTATGCAACTCTTTTCTATATGACCATCCCAGGCACTATTATGTAATCTGTAGTTTATTGAAACATGTTGGAGGCTCCCTAATACATAAAACCATCCTCTGGCAGCTGCTTTGGTTCCTTGTTTGTTAACTTTAGACGTGTTTGCCCCAGGTCATCCTGTGTTTAGTGCTGGCTGCCAGACATTGCGAAAGCAATTCTGCAGGAGTGTCTGAAAGCGTCTCTCATCCATGGGTCCTGTGTACCTAACTGTAGCCCACTATACTTATACCCCAGCAGTTTTGGTCTTCCCCCAAAATATATAATGGCTATTCAGAATCCTTTCTGCTATTCAGAATGACTCCTGGTGTCTTGGATTTTATATTTTGTGTCTGTGTGTCTGCTTCTTTGGTCCCCATGGTGCCTTGAAGAAAATGGATACACTAGATCCCTCTTCATGTCAG